ATGACTAGGTATGGCTTTGTAAGAGAGTGATGGTGCATGGAAGGTCTTACACTCAAGCATGGTGGAGGTATGGTGGTGGTTAGGCCATACATCCCATGTCCATATAAAATGTATGACATTTTTTTTATGCAAGAGAGTTTTTTTGGGTCTTGCAATTTTCTCTCCTAAAATCACCTACAACAATATGCTCCCTTTTCTTTCTAAGTTTTGAAACCGTGACTAGCATCACGAGAAAGCAAAGGATTCGGATTGTTCGCATGGATAACATGGAGGCATCAAGCTTTGTTTGTTGCTGTGATTCAAAGTCTTGCTAACTGTGAGGTATAATTCCGAAACACCCGCTTTATTCCGGTTCGTATGGATCCTTGGAGGGTTACAGTTTTATTTTCCGTTGTGCTTGAGATCGCATAACTCAACAGCCGTATGTTTTCTACTATTACTTAATGATATTGAACAATTCAAATACATATAAAAAGTAGAAAAATAACATATTGAAAGAAAATCCAAGACTCAAATTGCATTTATGATAATTAGCATGTTATGTTATGGAAGTAGATTTTTATCTTATAAGCAAGTCGAGCATGATTAATATTGTTATAAGTTAGGCATTGCTTGGAGTATAAATATTCTAGTGTTTTTACCTAAAAATCCTATATCCTATATCCTATATTATTATTATATGTTTCCCTTCTCTCGATAAATAAAGAGCAGGAATAAGTTCCATAGACTTTGGAAATGGTTTCATGTTTTTCTATGGGTTCTTATTCACTCAACCAAGATTCACACGTATTTTCCAACTGAAGACACTGGTACACAAGGCTCGAGGATGATCTTTCTCTTCCTACACATACCCAGTTAAGATAATAAAAAAAAAATTCTTACCAATTTTCCATCTGGGTCAAAAGACAGATGCTGAAATGATATTTACTGGCATAGATCTTTCTCTTCCTACACATATCAAGATTAGCACAAATAAGCACAATGTTGAGAAAGTAAAGTGATAAAAATAAGAGAATTATGAAATACAAGATTCAACTTCTGTAACATCTACCCATACCGCATTTGCAATTAATGAATTCATTCTCTCATACGTGCACTTTGGTTTACATGAAATAACCAGATTCCATTGGCATTAAGTGAGGTGGATTTGTTGAGACATAAGACACCAATCAGTTTAAGATTGTTTGGGGAAGTAAGACCCAACTATATATAAATAACAACAAAACAATCTTCACCATTAGAAAACACTATCCTAGGCTAATATGAAGGAGTTTCTACGTGAACATACTGATACTGAACTTAATAGATGTACAAATTGGCATCAAGTTTGAATATGACCAAAATGCCAGAGTCATGTGAATCAGACTCTTGTTTCACATTAGAATGTTATTTCTCACAACCATAGTTGGTGTTTAACTGTTTGAGAGAGATCTATGGTCGTTTCATTTCACAAACAAACTAAAACAATCACATAAGCAAGTTAAAGAGGAAATGACTACCTTTCTACAACTTCATTGCCTTGTGAAGCTGCAAACTGGGCCAGACGATATACTACACTGAAGTTTCTTTGAGCCATCACCTCTTTGTCAAATATAGCATCAGATAGGACAACTGATGATGTTCCCTTAGCAATATATTCTCCACTGAATCTGTATAATAAGAGATGCAATCAACCAACTACACAAATTACGTCTTTTGAGTTTCAGAACCTTTATTTAGTAACAAAGCTAATTGGAAATAAGATCATAAATAAACAATGATGATGAAAGGAAAATTGTACCGTAAGGAAGGCAAMTAACCTTGKTATAAGAAATTTTAATCWAGTGGAGGAAAAGAAAGCATGGAYCWTGAACTAATGAGATGCTCAAGAAAATCCAAAAAACTTGAAAATCCAATGAGATGCTCAAGAAAATCCAAAAAACTTACTAATGAGATGCTCAAGAAANAATGAGATGCTCAAGAAAATCCAAAAAACTTACTAATGAGATGCTCAAGAAAGTCCAAAAAACTTACCAATTCAGGCACATAGTCAATTCCATCTTTGACCTTGAGGCTCATGATCTTGAACTTAACCTTGGTCCTTTGGTCCAGCTATTTTTCGCTTAACAAACTTGAAAGTTGTCATCGATTTATGTCGGTGAGCATGTAAAGGAAGATAATTCACTTGGAACATCATATGCTACAACCCACATCCAACCTGTACCGGTTATGCAAAAGGGAGATGATTGCTTGTCACAATAATACTTTCCCCAGCATCACCCATTTAAAGTTTATTTACCTAATCAGCAACTATTATATCACTTTGTAAGAATGACCATATTCTTTAGTTCTTAACAACTATAAAGGCAATTGTTTAGAGCCTTGAAATGGAGGCGATTTCATCAAGAGTTACTTCTATAAAGGCAATTGTTTAGAGCCTTGATTCAAAAGAATAAGATGGTAACAGGGATCGAAAACTTGAGGCTAGATTAAAGCCTCTTTTTAATTTATTTAAAAGTATATGTAAATTTTCTTAAATGGCCTATTAACCAGTTAACACTTATCAAGTAAGAGATTTTTAAGAACAATTCATTTTGATGGCCAAGAATATGATCCAACAAGTCTCACTAAATGCACAATAGATGCACATGTATTAAACTGTTCCAACTACCCAAAAAAGTATTGAAACAAAAACCGAAAAATATATCCTTTTAACAATTTTGTATATCCAAGCATCCAACTATGAAAAAATGAAAGCCCCTTTAATAACATATACTTAGAGCACAAATAGTGGTAGAATAGAGAAAATTTGAAATACACAAATGCTGATATGTGCATTTCCTCAAAGCCCTAAATTTCTCAAAAATAATCAAAAATGATCTCAGTACTTAAGAATAACAAATAAAGTTATCTTTCACTGAAAAAAAAAATATTGAAATGAACGAAATCTAAAAAAACATTATGTTTACCGGAAGGGTCTTGAACCAAGAAGCAATGTATATGGTTGAATTAACAAATGATTGTACCATTTGTTTCATCGATGCATTTCCCTCTTTAGTCACTATATGTTTCTCCCTCAAAAAACATCGTTTCGTGGAAACTTTTAATGTTCCTCCGGCACCAATTTCTCCACAATATGACACCTTCTAAATATATAAATCTTTCAAAAATAAATGGAGTAAAGAAATAGAAAATAACAAGTTCAGGCACCATTACTTCCCAAATCTCCTTGGTCGAGATTAACAAAAAAAAAAAATGCAGGGGAATAAAATAGAAATTCAAAACTTGTAATGAAGTTAACAAACACAACTAAAACTCCCAACATTGATGTCAATGACTGCAGCTTGGGAATCCTATTTCAAAAGAAAAGTAAATAAAATAATAGTTAGCCTTTTGACAAGAAGGGCACTGGAACATAATGGAGCAATGGGTGGCGAGGCAAGGAAGATGGTAGATTTTAGGAAGAGCCAACATCTTAGAGAGTAGTTTTATAAGGAAAAACATTGATTTGAAAGAGTTGCTAACACGTGCTCTGTGATGGATAGAAAAATAAGATGAATTCATCTCATCAATTTAAAACCAATTTCAAACCAAACTGTTAGGAATGAAATTCTATGTAAAATTGTATTCGTCTTGAAAGATAAAATTGTCTATAATTGTAGAAAAGACATTGTGTTTGACTTTTCTTATATAGGTTTGACTTTGACTTTGTCTAGAAGTTTGACCCTATAAATAGGGTGATGTCTTTGTAAATCTAGTAAAGAGGGAGCTCATTTGTAAAACTCAGATTACGTAAAGAAGGTTTTACTAGATTTGAATGTTTGACTTTCTCTCTCAAAGTTCATCTCTTATGTTATTGAAGATATATCTTAGATCTGCCATTGTTATGAAGATGTATTGAAGATTGATCTTAAAGTGGACTATCAATTGGTATCAGAGCAGTGTGTACAAGAGATCAGAAGAAGAAATCAGAAATTTTGGAAGATTATTTTCTAAAAAATTTTTTGTTCTTCATGTTCTTGTTTTTCTTCAAGTTTGATCCGAAATTTTATGGAAAATTGTGTGTTTTCGTGTTAAAAACAAGATCATTTTGTGCGTAATCTTGTTGTGAATCTTTGTTTTACACAAAGATTTACACTTTGATCATCTGATTTCAAGTTTTTGGTGAATTTTGTGAATCTTAAAAATTTTCGTGTTTTTAAAATTTCTTAAAAACTCAGTGTTTTTGATCCATTTTCTTGTTAAAACTTCTTCGTTTTTGTGTTTTTTGATAATTTTTTATCTGATTTTGAATTTTGGGTTGAATAAATTTGTGTTAAATCGCTCACTATATAGCTCAGCCCAAGGCCCATCCAGATTAGGCCCAATTGGTTTAAATCGTTTAGCTTTACATCGCACAAACAGGTAGGTCATCGCAGTCAGTTTGAGTGATTGTCTAAATCGTATACAGATTGTGTGATCAAGAGGTAAATCAAACATAGCTTGAGCGGATTAAGGTTTAAATCGTAGAAGCCTTGAGCGAACAAGTCTAAATCGATCAAAATCTAAGCGGACAAGGATTTAAATCGCAGAAGTCTTGACCGGATAAGTGTCCGGATTCTCACAAACTCTTGGCCGGATTCAGGTATTCTTGAGCGATTTAGGTTATATCGCACAACCTTTGAGCGGATTAGTGACCGGATTTGATCAACTCTTGAGCGGATAAGTGTCCGGATTCGCACAACTCTTGACCGGATAAATGTTCGGATTCGCACAACTCTTGACCGGATAAGTGACTGGATTCTTAATCGCTTAATCCTAAATCGGTAGCTTGTCTGTGTTTCAAGGTAAATCGCTCAGTGTCTAATTAGTTCATTGCTTCTTGACCGGATTTTGATTTCAATTTAAATCGAACAGCAACCTTTCATCGATTGAGAATCTCATTGCTCAATTTATACGATTTTGGCCAGACTACTCGATTACAGAATAATGCTCAATTTCTTGTTCTTATTTAGCAAAATCGAAGAACATCTGTTCGATTTAATAGTATTCCGAGATAGGTGCTTCCATATTGGCTGTATAACTTGTTTGGATACATTCTATCCATATTTCCATTGGCTGTGTTTACATCAGACTTTGTCCGGATTAGGTTCACTCACACCTATCTGAATTGAAAGTTACTTTGACTGGATTTGAGCTTCATCTTCAGCTGGTAGTTTCACACAAGTACTTTCTATTGGGATTGAAGTTTCARCTCTTGGACTTTAGGTTTTGTTGTGATTGAGATTTGATATCACACTGGGTTAGCTGTTACAGATTTTGTGTTTGGTTTTGTTAGCTGTTAAGTTTGGTATACAAAACGAAGTTGTCAGTTTGAAATCTTTAGTGGCTGATTGTCATCTGATTTGAAGAACTATGATTGCAGACAATGAGTTTTGAATTGTAATCGCATCATCACAGGTTGTGTGTTTGTTCTTTATTGCACAAGCTATTCACATATTTCTGTCTTGGTCATTCTAAATCACACAGTTTCAGCAAAATTTAGTGGTTTATCGCCATCGGATTAAGAACACTTCTTGAGCAGACTGTGAGCAGACTGCTAGCTTTGAGCAGACTTGAGAGTGTGCGGTTTAGGCAGTCAAAGTGGTTGAATATTATTTGATTAGCTCGTCATTTGAACAGATTCTTCCAAAGCTGCTTTGACCAGGATTAAGAGGCTGTTAGTTTTGAGCAGTTTACAAATTATGTTAGCTGCATATTGAGTATTTCTTTAAACAACATTTTGATCTTTTTAAAGGCTGATTTTTAAGTTGTTTATGATCATGCAGTAAACTGTTTTAAACAGATTTGAAGAAGATTTTAATTAGTTTTTGTTTGAAGCTGGAGTTGATATATCGCAAGTGAAAGGTGAGGTAGAAAAGCTTCCAGGTAAAGAGAATACGCAGAAGCTGTTAAAAGCAGAAATTACTGTGACTGTGTTTGATCTTTGTTGTCCAATTTTTTTTAAATCTGTTTTGACAGCATTTCAAGATTTTCAGATTTTTTGGCATTTTAACAGCAGATGACAGATGCAGTTTGAGTGATTTTCTTGACCAAGCATCTTATGCAGTGAACTGACTTGAAGTTGCAGTGACCGGATATTGTGTATAAGATTGAGGAACTTGATGCAGCTATTGAGAATATAGGCTGCTGTTTTTGAATAGCTGTAGAGAGAAAAGTTGTGTTTTTGGTTGTAAATTCAATCTTGTTTGTTTGATCAATATTGTGTCTTTGATTGATTTTCTGTAATCCTTGTAATTGGGCTTGTTTCATCTTGGATTTATTGTGTTTTTGGTTTTTGAGTTTTAAGTTTTTGTTTAGATTTTAATTTTGGATCATTTCGTTTATCTGTTCTGGTTTTTGTTTTAACTGGTTGAGAATCGTTGAACTATTTTCCGTCGCGTAGACTGTTTTTCATCAATTTTAATTGTCTTTAACTGTTTTTAACTGTTTTCAACAGTTTTGACTGTTTTTACTGATTTTGACAGTTTTTCATCATTTTTCTAAGTTCTTATCAGTTTTTTGTGTTTTCTGTTATTTTTTTGAGCTAAATTGTTCCTGATTTTTTTTTCTGATTTCACTGCATAGATCCTATAACTTATCAATCTATTTTTTAATATGGCAGTTTCATATGAGAGAGAGGACAAAAAGTTGAGAGAGATGATTGTTGATCTGGAAAAGAGCATTGTGAACTATAAAGAGAAATACATAAATATGTATACTAAGAATTATGCTAATGAGGAATATATCAACGATTTAAAGAAAGATCATAAAGAAGAATGTGAG